CAGATTCACCTTTCACAGTATTGTAATCACAGCCTCAAAGACTTGAAGATAACCCCTGACCCTGTTATCTCAGGTCTACATTCATTCATGTATTTTACCAGCTATTTATCTTTCCTGCATGAAAATGAAAGTTCCATACAAATACTGGCTGTCAAAAGAAAAGCAAGAAAACTGAGCTCAACATTCTGTCAAAAAAAAAAAGAGGTATCCAAGCCTCTTGCAAACAGAACTCCTTCCTATCTCATCACTGCAAATTCAGTCCCAAATCTGTCAGCAATTTCATGGAGCCATCTTACGACCAGAGTAACTTTCCTATCGACAAAGTTGCAAGTTTGGATATTAAGTTTGCAGTATCAGTCTTTTGATGACATATAAGGGCTTTAGCAAGTACAGCTTACAGAAAAAGCAAGAATGTAGCTCATTAAACCTGAATTTTCACAGTTTTCCTGTTATTATACTGTTCAACTTGCAGATTATAAGCATTTCCATCTTCAGTATTAATATAGTGTCTAGGAGCACTGGCAGCCAGAAACCCTTAAGCCCCTTATTCCCCAATTATGTTTCTTTACTAATAGAAAATAAAAGTGAGATAAGCTCACATCCTTAAACTAAAAATACTAATCAAACCTGCTATTTCTAATTAACAGTGTAAAAATAAAATCCCTTGATGGGCCGCCACATAGAAACCTACAAATGAAAACAGGAAAAACAGCACCAGGGGATCAAGCATCACTGTGTTCTGTTATCCAAAACAAACATCAGCAACTAACAGTGTAGCTTGTACTAGGAGCCAGGGGAAATTTACATTTACAATAACATTTGTGTTAAGTGAAAACCACTCCAAGCATCTGCATCTAGAAAGAAATATGAGAAACGTACCAGTGGCTCAGTGTCTCAAATACTGACCACAATTTCCACGCAATTTGATAACTCCATGGAGCAAAGCCCAAGCTTTAAACAAACAGTCTTATTCCACACAGAAGCCTATCTGAATATAAAAATAACCAAGTTTGGACAGGAAAGTACTAACCTTCTTCTCACTCATTCTGAAAGACATCCAGGTTTACATCCTAGGAATGTATGTTAGGGCAGAGAGGAGCTAAGTTATAACTGACTAAGTTGAGTCGGTTATGACTCAAGTGGCTATTTTCTGAAAGGGCATAAAAAAGTCTCCATTATCACAATACCCACTAGAGATTATCATCTTTTTAATCAGAAAACCCCAAGAGTCTTTCACCTTTACTTCAAAATTTCAAGTGTCTGATCTGAGAATTCAAAGATTTATCTCAAATACATTTTCTGCACCTCCATCAGAGTGATTTCAGTGACAGACCAATTTGAGACAGCTCTATAATCAAGACAAATAAAGAGACTCCTCCCTACACTCTCTCACATATTAAACTAGAAAACAGTCAACTTTCTGCAGGAAACATCGGAGCGAAGAAGAGAAGCAAACCTGACACCACCCAACTGTTAACTCAGAAAAGCAGCTGAACACACCTCCAAACCGAAAAAGGTCCCTCTTTTTGCTGAGGAAACACTCAGGCAAGTTCACTGCTCTGATGGAAGCTTGCATGATACAAAATTACTATCATAAGCTTTCTGGAAATTAAGTAAAAAAATCATGAACACCTGAATATTATTTTTGTAGCCAACACCTGAATTTTCATTCAATATACCAATTATGATTGTAAGCAGGTACATCCAAAACATATTAATCTTCCCTATACAGCAAAACATTAAGGGTTTCTAGTACTCTTTTTTTAAGGAATCAATACTCTCCAGGACATGGTGTGACTCTTGGGGAGAGCTCTGTGCAGGGCCAGGAGCTGGACTTGATGATTCTTATGGGTCCCTTCCAACTTGGCATATATTCTGCCATTCTGTGAACTAGAAGAGCATGTAACTGTCACTTATATACTTAAACCAAAATGTTAATCTACAACCTATATTTCAATCACAAGGCTTTGTAATTTAAGGATGGAGAATGTTCAACTGATTTCTTCTTTATTTGGAATAAAAGCACCTGAGTTTAGACCACCAACATGTTGTCTACAGTCACAACAGTTGCTGTGTGACTAGATGATGGAAGAACACAAGATATGCAAAAAAAAAAATCTAGAGCCTAGCAGCTACAGAGAAACCCCAGAATGGCCCCATCTATGTTACTAAACCAGCAATGTCAGCTGTTAGTTTCATTTCAGAAATCAGGAACTAAAGAATGAACTTGGACACTACAAAAAAATCCCAGCAGACTGAGATATTCATGTTGTTTTCACAGAGACTCCAGTGCAACATAAAGGAAAACAAAGTTGCCTTGCTTTTTAAGTTTCACCAAGGCTAAAGATCACTCTGGAGCGCTACAGATCACCTAATTTGCAAAGTCACGAGATGACCCTGAAAACTTTTCTACTGCTAAATGAGACCAAGTATAAACTGTTAGCTTCAGTGGACTATGGCTACAGGAAACACGTGGCTGGCACATGCACATGAGGAAACCGCACTCAGCCTTTTCCTCACAGAGTAACCCTTGACCCAGCTGGCCAGCAGCTCACCACAGACCAGAGCTCTCTGCAGAAAATAGGAATGAACCAGTTGAGTTCAGCAATCTTCATCCAGTCTTAAGTTTCAGGTTTGTAAACCTGTTTGTGACAATACACACAAATCTGCCCAGTAATCCCCCCTGTGCAGAGCTATCAAGTGAGCACCACTCACAGAATCACAGGGATTGGAAGGGACCTCTGGAGATCATCCAGTCCAACCTCCCTGCCAAGGCAGGGTCACCTGGAACAAGTGACACAGGAACATATCCAGGGGGGTTTAAAATGTTTCCAGGGAGAGAGATTCCACAGCTTCCCTGAGCAGCCTGTTCCAGTGCTCTGCCACCCTCAACATAAAGAAGTTCTTTCTCATATTAATGAGGAACACTTATTATATTTTAGTTTAGGGCCACTGCTCCTTGCCCTGTCGCTGGGCACCACAGAAAGAGTTTAGCACTGTCCTCTTGACACCCCTGTGACATATTTCTATGCATTAATGAGATCCCCTCTCAGTCATCTCTTCTCTAAACTAAACAGGCCCAGCTCCAACAGTCTCCCCTCATAACAGAGATGCTCCAGACCCCTAATCATCTCTGCGGCCTCCGCTGGACCCTCTCCAGCAGATTCTTGTCTTTCTTGAACTCCTTCTATTGCTTTTTTTTAAGTGCTTACAAGGATGTGAAGTCTTAAGAAAAAAATTATACACTGCTATATCTGCCTTCTGCTGCATAACCACTCTCCTCTTAAACAGAGTGCCAGAAATTAAGGGGTTGAAAAAGCCCCCCCACAAGCAATAGATCAGGTGCATAATGAGCACAAACCTACAAAGTGTGCCAGAAGCAGAGAAGGTGCCTACGAGTAATCGAATTCACCCAGACCTGGTCAGAGTAATGTAAATACATTATTGTTCCACCTCAAACACCCCAGTCCAGAGGCAGTGAGCTCATTTCTGTCAATGAAGAGCACAAATGGAAATCACAGCTCCAAGCTCTCCCACGGGATAAAAAGCACGTTCTCAGTGTGTCACTCCCACTTCCGCACAGCCACACTCGCTCCCCAAACACGCTTTTACAGTCAAGCCAATTAGGGTCCCCAGCTTTCCCTTTTAAGCCAGGTGCCCTTCCCACCCTGTCCCGGGAAGGGCCACAGGCTGTGCGACCACGTACATCCCGCGCGTTTTGCGGCTGAAAAAGACAGCGCGACCAACCACCTGCGAAGGTACAAGAGTTACCTCAAACCTAAGTAAAGCTACAGCGGACACACCTCTACTTCTAGCTTCATTCTTCCCTCCCACTGCTTCTGCCTTCGTGGGTGGAACGCTGCAGGGCCGTGTCAGGCAGCACACCCCGGAGCGCCGGAGCGCATTCCAGGGACGCAGCGGCCCTTGGGACACGAGCGCGACCGGCCGGGCACTCCCAGCCCGCCGAGCCACCCGGCGTGCCCGGGCAGCCTCTGGCATACAGAGTCCTTCAGAGCGGGCTTCTCCACGAAAACACCGGATAAGGGACAAACCCCGGGAACGGCGGCGGTTTTAAGAGAACCTCCACCCCAGCGCTCCACCCGCGACACAACACAACCCCCAGGCCCGAGAGGTCCCAGGGCCGGGCCCGAACGCGCACGGTGGGCCCAGAAGGGCCTCAGGGCAGCGGGCGGGGAGCTGAACGCGGCCTCCCCGGACCCTCGGGCACAGGGAGCGGGGCAGCCCCGCAAGGCCCTCCCGGGACACCCCCGGGCTCCAGGCAGCGGGTCCCGCCCCAGGCGCGGCCGCCGCCCCCGCTCCCAGGCTGAGCGGCAACGGGCGCTGGGCCGGACCTGCGGCCCAGGGATAGCGACGGGAAAGCCGGAGGATCCCAGCCCGTGCCTTGTTTCACTTACCCGCCGGCGAAGAGATGCACCAGGGTGTCTCTCTGGCTCATCCTCGTCGCCTGCGCCCGGAAAAGGAGAAAGAAGTGCCGGGCGCTTCCGCCCCGCGCTCAGCGGGCCGCAGCTGGCGGGGCTGCGCTTAAATACGGGCCAGGCGGGCTCCGCCTCCCGCTCCCAGCTCCGCACACACACGGGCCGGGCGGGCTCCGCCTCCAGCGCCTGGCGGGGCCCCGCACACACACATGGGCCGCGGCCGCCGCTCCCTGCGCGGGGGGGCCGGGCTCGGCCGGGAACCGCCTCCCTCCCCTCCCGCCGCGGCCGTTGCGGCGCGGAATGTGACCGACATGAATATGCACAATCATGAATATGCAAAATATGAATATGCAACGAGCCCTTGGGCTAAACAGACACGGCTATTGGCTGCGGGGTGTGACGTCACCGCAGGAGCGGGACCTGCCTCATGAATATGCAACACCCCCCGAAGTAAACAGAGGCGGCCGTTGGCTGCGGGGGATGTGACGTCACCGCGCGCGCTGCCTCATAAGCCGGGCGGGGAGTCAGTGGGGTTTTTTCTCCCTCAAGCCGTGCGGTCGTGGCGCAGATACGGCGAGACCGGCGCTGTCGTGTCCCTGCTTCCCCTTGCCTTTTTCTTTTCTTTCTAATTGGCATTATAAGCGCGTATAAGTGTCTAAAGCGGGGGTGCCAAGAGAACAGAGCCAGGCTCTGCTCGGTGGTGCCAGCCAACAGAACAAGAGGCAAGGTGCAGAAACTGATGCCCAGGAAGCTCCACCTGAACACGAGGGTGTTTAGGTGTCTTTACTGGGACAGATCGCCCGGAGAGGCTGTGGAGTGCCCCTCACTGGAGAGATTCCAGAACCGCCTGGACACAGTCCTGTGCCGTGTGCTCTGGGCTGGCACTGCTGGAGCAGGGAGGTGGGAGCAGATGCCCCTCTGTGGTCCCTCCCGACCTGACCCATCCTGTTACCTGCAGCTCCCTGGCCCCACAACGTGCCCCTGGGCTGGCCCTGGGCAAAGGGCACATCCAGCTCCTGCAGAAAATATGTGGGAAAGGGGTATGAAAAACTGCCCCAGGGCCCCCAGCACCCCCAAGCAGTGGTATTAGTAACGTGTGTGGTGCCCTTATGTTTTGTTTCCTCTTGTTTTCAAATTCTAGGTCATACCCTCAGCTCCTGAAGCAATGCATCTCCTCAAAGAGCACCCAAACAATGGCCTTTTGCATGTGTTTCCAAAGTGAGCATCCTGACTCACTGAGCAACTTTCAGCTTGTTTTTCCTCAAAAATACACAGATAAAGGAAAATAAATAAGGCTAAACAGGCAAATACTTAGCATCATGTGCAAAATTGTTGTCAGGATTAATATTTTGAAAATCCAAGCACCTAAAGCTGCATAAATGGCTAACTAAAATCTTCATGAATATCCACACAATAAATACAAAAATCTTCCAAAATATAAGCAGCTGTCTCACAACAATTTTTTATATGTGTACTAATAAAACAGGAATGCATCCCCTGAGCAGGTGAACTGATGTGGAAGAAAAATAAGCTGGAAATGTGAAGTGAGATTTTGCAAGACAGGTGGGATTTAAGGAGGAGGCTGGGTGGGAGAAGTGTGAGATGTGGGGGGACTGGGGAAGAAAGTCATTACATTGAACTGGAACAAGTAAAAGTAGGACAACGATTTTGCAGTTGCTGTTCTGCATTGCTACTCCTCACAGAATGCAGTTGAAACTAATGATCAAATGACTGATAATTGTTCCAAAACAGAAAAACAGTCAAGACTTTCACAAGCCTGTAGTACATGTACATGAGATATGTTAAATTTAGCATTCAGAAAGTGAGAAAGGATCATGTGCTGCTTGGCACAAGTTGTCACAGGGAAAAGAGTAAATATATTCAGGTTAATTAAAACAGATAAAACATTTTGAGGGTACTGGAAAACTCCACCAGTGACTTTATTAAATGCTGCATGAAAGACGGTCATATAAGAAGTACTTAGTGTGAGGTCACAAGTTCAATTTTTTTCCAATTCCCTCAATAGTAGCTTAAGAGGGAACAGAAGATGGGTTTTCTGCAGGCCATGTGATACCATCCAGCGAGCACATGTCCCAGAAAACTCAAAAGCAGATTAAATACCAAATAAAGGTTCTGTTTCATTCTGTCTCTGTGTAGGTGAACGCCTAATCTGGGAGCTTTTAACTTCATCTGGCACTTATGGCTTCCACTGAGAGAAATGAAAAAATGTAAATGTGATTATTTTCATGAATACTTAGTGAACAGCTAGAATAAGTAGTGCTATTGAAACATTTTATTTATGTAATTAGATACTCTGTAATATTTTTAATTGTATCTTTTTATGGAACCTGTAGTTTTTCATTGAAATACTTAACAGACCTCAACTGATCTATTTTCAATTTTTATTAGGAGTCTGAAACACTTTGATTCAAAATCATTTTGCAATATTCCTTGAGAGCTGACTACTACTTCTATTCTCCTTGCTAGGCTGGACTCTCTTACTGGACAGCATATCCCATAATGTTTGATGGATATGGATCCTTACAGTGTATTTCATCTGTAGGGAAGAAGTAAGTGTGGAGAGGAAACCCCTCGTACAATCACTCTTTAGAGCCCAGAATGTAAATGAAAGCATCCAGATCACATGAGGTCCCATTTTGAAAAGATTTTATTCATCCCAGTCTTTGTAAGATTCTATTTTTCCCCCATAATTTTATTACAGAACCTGAGTAACTCAATCTTCTGTCTTTTTCACCCCTTGATTCCTTAGAAATAATAATTTAAAAAAGAACTTTTTTTGTTGGGTTTGGGGTTTACTTTTCATGTTCTGCTTGGTGTAAACCAAATCTGTAGTAGGACTCAACAAAGTGACAACAAGGAGAAAAAAAATGTAACCCCCCCCTTGTTTCTGTGTTTTCTGTCTCTGAATTTTTCTCAGGATACATGTACCATGTGCTGCACTTTTTATCTGGTAGTCCTTGAACAGAAAATACCCTTTCTTAAATTTCACAAGTGGCTTTCTGTGTAAAAAAAGAGCTATAGAATACATTAGAATACCTGATTCACCTGGGGTTTTTTCCTGCTCTTTTATAACAGCCTAAGGTGGGATAATATATTTTTCCTATGTAGCAGAATCTCTGCTGCCATTTTTTAATTAGGTTCTAAAAATTGCATTTGTATTTTTGTTCGAAACTACTGTGTTGGATTCATGTTCTTATTATTGTGGTTCTAATGACCCTCTCTTTTTTTAATATTTATATGACCACATATCACAAGTTTAAAATATACAGGAAATGAGACTATAACTCCACATTTGAAACAGATTTAGTGTCATCATGACTTTATTTACCCTATAGTGTTCTTTAAACAAATATTTGGCATCTTTTAACAGTGCCAAGGTTAACCCACATAAAACAATAGAAAACAATCCCCCTGTGAAGTAATATTTGTACTAAGCAACCTATTTTAAAATATTTAGCATTCTTTGATGCTCTGTTTATCTGACACATTATTCCTTTTCTTGACCAAGCTCACAGAAATGTATTTTCTCCCTTCAATAAATGTGGAAACAAGGTTTATTCAGTTGGGAATTTTGATTCTGAGCCATTTTAATCCACTTCTTCTGTGAAATTGAAATTATCCTGCTGTGGATTAAAATTATGTATTGATGACATGCAGTAATGGATATATGTATTATATGCTTATTTGGACAGAGGGAAATGGGTATCTGCAGGGGACTTGAAAGGTAGGTAGGATCCTTCAGTCCAAAAAATTTTTCAAGTTTGTGTGAATGCAAAAAACCCCAAATAAAAAAACCCAAACAAAACCCAAAACCCCTTTCCTGGTTGTGAATGAGAACTGTGCCTGAGGAACAGAAGACAGTGATCCAGAGCTCACATCATGCCCTTGCTCAGGGAATGCCATGGGAATAAAGCAGGCTGTGTATGGCCTCTGGTGCTCCTGAGAGCTGCAGGCAGAGTCTGGCCTCTCTTTTAAAGCCCTGTGAAGCACAAAAAATATTATGAACTTACCAGCCTTGAGATGCTGAGGAGTGAGAAGGAAGAAACAAACCTCTCAAGCAAGTAAATCCATGGAAGTTACTCAAAGCACAGGAAGAGGCCCAGCTGTGGGATGCTGATTAGTTTTCTTCCTAGAACCTTTTCCTGATCTCCTTTATGCCTTCTTCAAACGACTGTCCCATTCACCGCTTGTCTCCGAATGTCATGAGAAACCAGAGGAGATGTCTAAGATATTCCATATAAATCCATGTGGTCAGGAATGATAAGATGTAGAAAATAAACTATGAATACTCAGAATTCAAGCCCAGGAAGTTAAATTTTTATTCACTTCCTTTGTTCTTCCTAATATTTCAAGAGCTTCTAGAAGAACGAATAAATCTAGACTAGTCCCAAAATTGTGACCACTAACTTTATGTTCTCCTTTTTAAATATTTCTAGGAACTCAACATTATGATTTGAGAAACTGTCAGAGCACTTTTCCTTTGCTAGATCAAAGCATATTTTCTTTAAATTTCACAAAGTAATGTTTTGTGTAAGTGCACTTGGTGTGGGCTATCCTGAGGGTGTTTGAAGTTCTCGTGTATCCCTTTCAGAAGGAATAAGGTTGGGTATCCTGCACTGCATCAGGAATGAGGTGGAAGTGGAGAAGCAATATGCCCCTTGACAGGCATGGCATTCCAGGGTTTAATACCTATTCTATTGCAGGGCCAGAATTAGTGGTGTTACAAAGTGTAACAAAGTGTAAATGGGTGAAGTACAGCTTGTTAAACAGCCAGCATTAATTTCCTGATATGTCTGGCTTAGAAATGAGACTTGAGCTCGTGCTTATTAATGACACAGAGAAATCAAGCTGCTTCATCATTGCTAATGAAGACCTGGCAGAGGGGTTAAATTTAGATCTAAAGTAAACCTCTGGGAAGAAACTGGATGGGTTTCTTTAGTACATGTTATAAGAGATCAAGAAATATTTGGGTTTGGTTTTTTTTTTTCCTTTAAATACCATTTTCCTCATTTTTTTCTAGTTTGCTTCCATAAATTCTTCAAAACTGGGGAGATGGTTTTTGTGCTTTCACATAGTGTTCTTTTTGTCTCTGCTTATATGTTTACAGAACTTTTCAATGAAAGGAAAAGGATTTTAGACTTATAAACCCCCAAATCCTACATTATTGTCCTATAAATAACTTGCCTTCTGACTTGTGCAACTCAGACTTGAGTAATAAATGCCATCAGCATAAATTACAGGGTTAGGGTTTTTGCTGCCAGGAGTTGGGCATATTTTAAGTTGTGCATCTGGAATAATGGCAAGATATTACAAGGAATGTCTTTTAGCTCATATAATGTACTGATTCTGAAAGTGAACAAAATGAGAGTGTTTGTACCGCTCTTTAGAAATGGTAGAATTGAATTTGTGTAATGGTGTAAAGTAAAACAGCTGGAGGACCTCTACTCCATCCCAGCAAAAGTTGACCATTCTGAAAGATTTAAAAAGTCCTGTAAATTTATGAATGCACTTCTATCAATCTGTTTACTAATATATTTTTAGCTCCATTTCTTAAATAAGGAAGCAGAATGAGACAAGACAGATGTTTAACCAAAACTATTGGACAGATCAGTGATGGATTTAGAAATAACCTTTTGACCAAGAAAGCCAGTAGGGAGGGTGTGCTAAGTAACTGTCTTTATACTTTGTGTGGGCCTTCTTCCTCTTGAGAATGGAGCTGCCTTTGTTCCTTGAGAACATATAAACCTCTGTAATACACAATTGCAAATACACATTTGTATGTCTATTCATCAGTTACTTGTTTACCTGAAGTTTGCAGCTTATAGAGTCTCTGGAAATAGAAGATAAAGCAGAAGAGGACAGGGGAAAAGGATAATAAGGAGGGAAAGAAGAAGAGAAGAGCTACTTTGAAAAAGGTGTGGGGTTATCAGTAGCACAAACATGAGAACTGGGAGAGTGGCAGGTAAGACTGAGAAAGAACAAGAGGCAGCGTGATGTGCAAGAGTGGAGACAGGATAAGTCATATCAATATCTTGAGGTGCTTGTTAGGGAAGGTATAAATTCTGTGTGTTGAAAATTGGGTTTTACAATCAGGAATATGCAGATACTTGCTGCAGAGAAAAGGAAATAGTTAACTGTATTGTGCTTGGCCCTCATGAGAGCTGTGTGGAGCACTTGGCATAACTTAGGCTGTCAGTTTTTGTGACAGGTTTATTCGAACTGAATCAGGTGTACAGCAGAGCCATTCATGGATGGCTTATCATATCAGAGAACACTTAAAAGATTTGGTTTGTTTAGTCTGGATAAATAAAGGATAAGATAAGATATGACTGCTACCAAAAAATATGTGAAGAGAATAAACTACAGAAACCAGAGGAGTAAAATACTACATAAGCTAAAGGTCAATATTAGCAGAGTCACCAGAGGTCATGAATAAGTTCAGACAGAGAAAAAAAAGTGAGAATCCCTGATGTGGTTTTCTACAGCACCTGGAGTGTAGAATGAAAGATTTCAAGTATTGTATGCAGCCTATGCTCAGTTGAGTCTCAAATTGTGAGAAGATGGTTAGGGTACCTTGACAAGGCATCCTGCTTTTGAAAGGTGTGAATCCATGATGCAATTTACTTTCAGCCTATCACTAAAGCAAGGGCTCCTGTCCGTAGCTTACTTTGAGAGAGGTGTGTAAACAATGTCCCACGATTCAGAAGTAAATTTCCTGATGTGAAAAATTTCAAATGTTTGAGAAATTTACTCACTCCTAAACGAAGCAGAACTTTGACATTTTTTTTCTCTTTTTAATCAAAAGGCAAAAGGAAGTGTGACTCATTTAGAAAAGGTGAATGTGTGACTGCATAGGTTTTGCAAAGCTGGAGTAAGCAAACCCAGGGAGCTCAGTAGTAGTGTGGTTACAAACCACACCTCACTGTTGTGTTTATTGGAAGAGGCTGTGTCTAAGTGCAGAGGAAGGATCCCAGCAGCACACATTGCTCTCGGGGCTTTAGCATTTTATGTAAGCAGCCTGATTTGGAAAACGGAGCAAACCCAACTGTCTTAGATGTGCATGAAGGCTATGGAAGTGTTTTCAGGCCACCAGCAGTTGCCTAGGGAGTCAGTCACCTTGCTGCTCTCACTTGATAGATGTAGTTTAATAATTAATTTGCATCTGGAGGAGATATTACTTCTCTAGCTTGTCTAAGCCCGGACAAGGAATTTGCTGACTCAGGTGTGCATTAGGGGCATACACTTCATTATTGCTAATGAAGTTAAAGAAACATTGTCAGAGACTTTGCTTTTTCACAAGAGATAATGCATTTGAAGTGTTGATGACTAGCTGGACTAGTTGTCCAGCTAGTTGCTTCCTGGATATTGTTAGTATGACACAAAGCTCAGTTAGATCCTCAGTTTTGAAGTGTAGGAACCACAGCTAGAAGGAAAACTGTTACGTCGCTACAAATGGAGAATGCTGAGTATTGTTAGCAGGTTGTTTATCCTTATGAGGCAAATATTCTTTTATTTTCATTGTATACAATTCCTTATTTCCTGCAGGTTATGGAAGTGTCTTGTCATGTTCCAGATTCTTCTGACAGTCTCGTCTACTTCCAGAAATGGTGAGGGGAAAAAAGTTTGTTTCGGCTTGGTTTTTTAAAAGAGTCAGATCATAGTTGATTTTCTGACCCTGAACAACCTGGGGAAGTGATTCCTTGGTCTAAAAAAGGCACTTTAAGAAATGGAAAGAACTTACAGTGTAAGCAATGCCAGTTTAAAAGACATTTAACAAAACAAAAAAAGAAAAATTACAAGTTGATCCATTTGATTCAAGATTTTATGGAATACTGATTTGCTTGACCTTTGATAACATTTTAACAAGATTAGGATGAATTATTAATGCTTGCTCTGAGACAAGGCATCAGGTCAAAGAGATGAAATCCCTATTTTTCCTGGAATTTATTTAGCACATGTAGGCTCATGTAAATCCTGGGGACACATCATGTCTCAGGTACAAAGCCCTGGTAACTCTTCCTTTCTCAATGCTGTTATTTTCTCTCCCATGGAGCACAAGCTCACTTATTTTTTAACCTGTTCTCTAATCTAATTCAGTGAATTATTTCCCCTAGTTCTTTGAAAATACTCTGGAAAATCTTCTGCACGTTTTTTGTAAGTTTAGATGCAAGGAACTTCAAGTAGTTTCATTCATAACGTGCTGTAGCCTTGGTAAAGTTACATCTTGGATGAATTTGATCTTATCAGCCTTGTGGAAAGAGCAGTGGTCTTTGTGATGTGAGTGAGATCTGATGGAGGTGGTTTTGACAAATTAAACTTTCAAGTCTTGATTGGATTTGGAGTTAGGTTGTTAGTCACTGTGGTGGGAAGAACTGCATTTAACTTTTATCTATGATATGAAGTGGTGAGGAAATTTGATGTATTATCTTGATTTCATGATAAAACATATGTCTAAAAGGATGTATGTCTTCCCATA